ATACTTGGCATATAGGAGGTGCCCAGTAAGGACTGTTTGCTGGATGAACTGTTTCCTTGTCTGCATCCCAAACCCCTTGGATTCTTTCCCAAGATTAGAGCCGGGACCTGAGCTTATCTCAGAAACACAGGGTCAATATTCATTGAACAAATGAATGAGGGAGGAAGAGGCCAGCTGTGTCCATTGCTAGGACAGATCAGATGCTCCTGGGCTTTTCCCGTTTGGAATGGAAATTTCCCCAAGACAGTCACTGATTCCTGACTTTCTAGCTTCCCAATCCTTGCTCCTACCTCCCCACCCCTACCCCACCCCGGTTGTCTGCCCCCAACTGCCACCAGCCAACTCTCAGCAACAACTTTGTCCTGGAAGCTCCATCCCTGGGCCTGGCCTTTCTTGGAATCTTCCTCCCTCTTCTCTTCTCTGCTTACTACCCCCACTTCCTTCCCTCAAGCCTCTCACTCACCCAACTCCACTCTCCCCTCATACCACCATCATTCAGAGACTCCTGGGCTCCTGCCCTCCACATCTCTGGCTCCTTCTCCTCAGCTCCCTAATCTTGGAGTTCCCAGAACTCCTCCCCTCTTCCCACTCTTTCTTTCACGAAACCCACCCACCCACTCAAGCTCAAGCCACTTTGGGGTTGACCATTCCCCAGGCTCTGCATCTTTTCTAAGTAGCCTTCCCAGTGTCCCTAGACTTTGTTGATTCCTAGCTCCCACTCCAGCCTAGACCCTGGCCCCACCCTCTGTCCAGGTCACTGCCTGGCCTGCACCTAAGGTTCACCATCCCAGGGTGGAACCCAAATAAATAATGTTATGGGAATAATAATGAAGATGAGACACAAAGAGGTGAAATAACTTGCCTAGGCCGGATGCGGTGGCTCACGCCTGTAATCCCAGCACTTTGGGAGGCCAAGGCAGGCAGATCACCTGAGGTCAGGAGTTTGAGACCATCCTGATCAACATGGTGAAACCCCATCTCTACTAAAATATAAAAATTAGCTGGGCATGGTGGCACGTGGCTGTAATCCCAGCTACTCGGGAGGCTGAGGCAGGAGAATTGCTTGAACTCAGGAAGTGGAGTTTTGCAGTGACCTGAGATTGCACTATTGCACTCCAGCCTGGACAACAAGAGCACAACTCCGTCTCAAAAAAGTAAAAATAAAAAATAGGCCGGGCGTGGTGGCTCATGCCTGTAATCTCAGCACTTTGGGAGGCCGAGGCTGGCAAACCACGAGGTCAGAAGATAGAGACCATCCTGGCCAACACGGTGAAACCCCATCTCTACTAAAATACAAAAAATTAGTCAGGCGTGGTGGCACGCGCCTGTAGTCCCAGCTACTCGGGAGACTGAGGCAGGGGAATCGCTTGAACCCAGGAGGCGGAGGTTTCAATGAGCCAAGATCGCACAACTGCACTCCAGCCTGGTGACAGAGCAAGACTCTGTCTCAAAAAAAAAAAAAGAAAAAAGAAAAAACTAAAAAATAAATAAATAAATAAATGACTTGCCCAGCATAACAGAGCTAGTAAATGGTAGAGCCAGGACATATACCCGGATGGTCTGACTCTGGAGTCTGCACCTTCCATACTATTCGGCCTCACAAAGGGAAGCTTGGAATTTACCTGTGGGTCACAATTTCGACTCCTGGAAGAGTAAGCAAAGGGTCACAGCTCTCGGAGGTCAGCTGGGACAGTCATCTGGGACTCTCTACAGGGGCTCAGGTGGGCTATGAGCAGAGGCCCTGTCCCCTGCCCTTGCTTTCACTCTCCCCTAGCCCCCATCCCAGGCAGTTGAGAAGATGCAAGGTGGGTCGTATATGTACTGCTTGGCACGGTGGGGCACCGTACAGGGAATAAAAACCAGCCTCTGTCTTCTAACATACATCGGTCTCACTGTGGTCACAAGTCAAAGTTCCTTCTGTCCAAATGGTCTGCCTCTCCAGCAAGGACACTTTGAATGGCCTCCCATGGTGGGTTGGAGCTGGTTTTCCCACTTCTTCAGCCAGCTGCAACACCAATTGCCATGGTGTTTAACTCCTCCAATGCCCCTCTCTGAATGACCCCATTGCCCAGCAGCCTTGGGGACTAGGCAGGGCTAAAATAAAAATATTGCATAAGTTATACAGTCCTTGTATAATAACAGTCCCTGCTCTGCCTTCTAAAAGGAAGACTGTTAGCCCGGGGTAGTTCTTGGCTTACAGGTTCTGCGTGGTGCACCAGCAGCCAAGGGCAGGCTAGATTGTCCTACATAAGAAAAACGGATCTGGGAGGAGGGCACAAGGACTGGAGGAGAAGTGATGGGGAGGAGAAATGAGAAAGAATGGCAGAGAATGAGGAGCTGCAAAGGAGTAGCTGAGGGGTGGTTCTCAGAGGGGAAGAGGATTTGGTGGAGGGTGTGGGGTCTTTTTTTTTTTGAGATGGAGTCTCACTCTGTCCCCAGGCTGGAGTACAGTAGTGCAATCTTGGCTCACTGCAGTCTCCGCCTCCTGGGTTCTAGCAATTCTCCTGCCTCAGCCTCCCAAGTAGCTGGGACTACAGGCACCCGCCACCACGCCCAGCTAATTTTTGTATTTTTAGTAGAGATGGGGTTTCACCATGTTGGACAGGATGGTCTCGATCTCCTGACTTCATGATTCACCTGCCTTGGTCTCCCAAAGTGTTACGATTACAGATATGAGCCACCGCGCCTGGCTGGGTGGGGGGTCTTGTGTGCTACCATTCCCCTTTGCTGCTTCCTCCAGGGACCTTCCGTAAAGATGCCTTTCCAAGGCTTTTTAAGGCTTGGATCTGTGTTTGACATGCCTCCTTATGAGATGGCCTCAAGGCAGCTCTCCGGGTACCCACAGGTCAGAACGATGGGCCTGAGAGGGCAGGAGTGGAACATGGCAGGAACAGTCTGTCATGAGACCGATCAGTAGGCTTCCAGTGGTGGGACCTCCATGTAGAAGCCTCCTGGTGGCCCTGAGGCTCTCAAGCTGCTGACTCCTCCATTTAGAGTGAAGCAATGTTGAACAACTGTTTCCCCTCACTTAGGGGCCTGGTGGAGGTACCCCAGGTACAGAGGATACCCTAAGGTTGAAAGAGCCACACTTGAAGAGGTGGATGAAGGAGAGGTGGATCTGGGGCTCATCCTAGCCTTGAATGCTCTGGCTCTACCCAGCTGTTTTCCTGGCCACCCCTTCCACACACCCAGGTCCCACCCCATCCCACCTATCCCCCATTTAATTGAAACTCACTGTTGCTTTACAGGCAATTTTTTCTTTTCTTTTCTTTTCTTTTCTTTTCTTTTCTTTTCTTTTCTTTTCTTTTCTGAGACAGAGTCTTGCTTTGTTATCCAGACTGGAGTGCAGTGGTGCAATCTCAGTTCACCACAACCTCCACCTCCCAGGTTCAAGTGACTCCTGTGCCTCAGCCTCTGGTGTAGCTGGGACTATAGGCGCCTGCCACTACGCCCAGCTAATTTTTGTATTTTTAAGTAAAGATGAGGTTTTGCCATGTTGGCCAGGCTGGTCTCAAACTCCTGACCTCAAGTGATCTGCCTGCCTTGGCCTCCCAAACTGCTGGGATTACAGGTATGAGCTACCACGCCCGGCCCCTCAGCTCATTTCTAACTCTGGGTTTTGTACACATCACCCCATGCCTTCTACTGGGAGTAGCTCCAGAGCTGCTTCACTCTCTGCTTCTTGAATTCCTCCTGGCTCAAGCTGATCCCTTCTTTTCTTTTTTTTTTTTTCTTGTTTTTTTTTGTTTGTTTGTTTTTTTTTGAGACAGGGTCTCACTCCATCGCCCAGGCTGGAATGCAGTGATGCAATCTCGGTTCATGGCAACCTCTGCCTCCCAGGTTCAAGTGATTCTCTTGCCTCAGCCTCCCAAGTAGCTGGGATTACAGGCACCAGCCACCACGCCCAGCTAATTTTTATATTTTCGGTAGAGACAGGGTTTCACTGTGTTGGCCAGGCTGTTCTCAAACTCCTGACCTCAAGTGATCCACCTGCCTTAGCCTCCCAAAGTACTGGGATTACAGACATGAGCCACCACTCCCGATTTATTTTAATTTTTTTAGAGACAGGGTCTCCATCTGTCGCTCAGGCTGGAATGCACTGGTGTGATCCTCACTGTAACTTTGAACTCAGCACCTCAGCCTCCTGAGTAGTTAGTACTACAGTCAGACACCACCACACCAGGCTATTTTAAATTTTTTTTTGGTGGAAACAGGGTCTTACTGTGTTGCCCAGGCTGGTCTCAAACTCCAGGGCTCAAGCATTCCTCCTTCCTCGGCCTCCCAAATTGCTTAGATTACAGGCATGAGCCACTGCACTTGGCCCCCTGCCTCTTCTAAGAAACTTCCCCTGATTACTCCCTCCATTGGCCTCCCACTGCCTGGAGCATCTGGCCAACTCTTGCCCTTGTCTGGAGGCTGGCTGAGGCACAGCTCCCATTTTTTCGGCTTTCACACATGCAAGGCCATGTGTCCTCTGCTCCGGCCCCCTGCCTGTCTGCCCAGGGCAGATCCCAGCACAAGGCTGGCCCAGCTGGATATGTATGGAGCATTCCTGGGTTGCACTAAAGTGTTCCCCACTTCTGCTTGCCAAGTTTCCACTCAGCCCTCGACATCTGGCTCAGATGCTCCCTCCTCAGAGAGCTCTTTCCTGACTCTTCGGACTGGGTCATGGACACCCTCTGTGTACCCCCTCCCTGCAGCCATGCTTCCCTCTGTCACAACCCTAATGTTGCTGTGCCAGTCTGTACTTCCAGCAGTTGGGAACCTGTATGGACCAGGGCTAGGACGGGTTCTTCTAGGGCCCCAGAACCAACCCAAGCCTGAGCACAAGGTGTCAGTAAAGGCTTGCTAAATAAATGGAATATCACTCCTCTCCAGAGAGCTCATAGTCATCCCCCAAAACCCAGCTCAAATGCCCCTTCCCAGAAGCTCTCACTTCCCACTCTCATCTTCCCTCACCCGCTTCATTGGTGACTCAAAGCATGGAACATACCCCTTGATGATAGTACACGTCACACTGTATTTTTGTGAGCACCTTAATGTGGTTTCCCCAGCTCTCTATGGCTGACTAGGACCTCTCAAGTGCCAGGCCCAGGTCTGTCCATCTCCATGCCCACAGGGCCTGGGCCAGAGAAGGGGCTGAAGAAATAGTTTTTGGTGAGCTTCTGGGTCCTGTGAGGGACCTTACTCCATGCCCAGCTGAGCTGAGCTCTAATTCTCTGCATGCTTTGGGGTTGGTGGGGCTCCTGGTGCCCTGGACACAATGGCAAACATGAAAGCTGCCCAGGCCCTGGAGGTCTTAGCGACCCTGCCTCTGCCATTTGGCTGTGAGTTTCTGTAGGAGCTCATGTGGTCGTCGGCGGAACTTCTTCTGGGTGAAGTAGAAGAGGATGGGGTCCAGCACGCTGTTGGCGCTGGCGAACGGCCGTGTGCCTTTATAGGCCGCTGCAAAGGCCTCCAACACAGGGCAGGGGACGCCTGGCGTTGAGCGCACTGCCAGGTAGGCTGTCTTGGTGATGTGGAAAGGCAGGAAGCTGATGGCAAAGGCAGCGGCCACCACCACCGCCATGCGGGCTGCCTTGCCACGCCGCTCCTGGGCCACAGGCTCTGCTGGGCCATCCTGGCGGCACAAGCGGCGGGCCAGGAGACAGTAGCAGGCCAGCAGGGCAGCAAAGGGCAGCAGGAAGCCGATGACAGTGAGAGCCATGCCATAGGGCATATAGCGGGTGGCCAGGGCAGGCGGGCTGAGGTCATAGCAAACGGTGCGGTTACGCTGGATGCCTGTGGCAGCAAAGACAGCTGTGGGCAGGGACTGGGTTGTCACAGCCAGCCACACGGCTACACACACTAGCCAGGCGGCCCGGCGGCCCCCACGTTTGTGCCAGGGGGCCAGCGGGTGGCAGATGCCCAGGTAGCGCTGGAAGCTGATGCAGGTGAGGAAGAGGATGCTGCCATGCAGATTGGCGTAGAAGAGGAAGCGGACCAGGCGGCAGGCGAAGTCGCCAAAGGGCCAGTGGTCACCTTGGGCATAGTTGTAGATGAGCAGGGGCAGGGAGCAGGCATACAGTAGGTCGGCCAGGGCGAGGTTTAGGGTATACACAGCCGTGCGAGTCAAGGCCCGGCGGGACGTGCAGATCTGGGTAATGACACAGACGTTCAGCGGCAGGCCAGCCGCCAGCACCGCCGAATACACAGGTGGCAGCAGCAGTCGCTTGAAGTTCTCGCGGTAGACACAGGTGGTGGGTGGCAAGCCCAGAGCCTGTCCTGTGCCATTGTCCCACTCCATGGCTGCTCAGGTGAGTTTCCTATGTTCAGGGAGGCTGGGAGAGCAATACACAGCCTGTCAGTGACATGCTCACTCACCACCCAGCAGGCCCTGCCCCTCCTCGGGCCCTGATCTCCGTGTCTGAACAGTGAGGGCACCAACTTTGTCAACTCTGCTACTCTAACCACCCCATGAAGCCCCACAGAGCCCTCACTTCGAGAAAATTTGTGATACAATAAAGCTCACGCTTGGGAACAATCTGATTCATTTTGTGTGTGTGTGTGTGTATGTATATATGTGTGTGTGTGTGTATATATATATATTTTTTTTTTTATTATTTTTTTTTCCTTCAGCCTTCCAAGTGAACTTCTATTCATTCTTCAAAGCCCTGATCATATGTTTCTTTCTCTGTTAGTGGAGATTGATGGACTTGGGTTTGAATCCCAACTCTGTTATGTATTTGCTATGTGACTTTGAGGTGATGATTTCATTTCACCTAAGAAAAGGGGGAATGTGGCGCCTGCCTCTCAGGGATGTCAAGAGGTTAGAAGCGCTAAATCATGCTGTGCAGGGCTGCCAGGGGCTCCCTGGGGTGTGGAGACTCTGGTCATGGTGGATCCGCATGTCTCTCACAGACTGGGACCTGCCTGAGGAGAGGGGCCAGGTCCGGTGTCTCTCTGGTCTTAGTCCAGGGTGTGGGGCAGAAAGGGCCCTGATAACTCTTAGTTAACCAATATGAAGGGTCCACACACCAGGGGCTCACTGAGGACCGCACCCATCTCCTCAGCCTGAACTCCACCTTTCAAAGCCATGGTTCTTCTGGCAGAGGTCTTGTTATCTGTAAAATAGGGGAAGGAGGTGATACCCAGTTCCCCAAGGCCTGGTTCCACTTGAGGCTACAAAGGCAGGTTTGGCAGAGCCTCTGACAACACAGCGCCTGCTAGTGCCCAGAGTGAAAACAACGTCCCTGAAGGCGGATGGGTGAGGGACCAAGTCATCTGTTTACTTTACAGAGATGGAAATCCAGGCACAGTGAGGGGCAGGGACTGCTCCTTTCTTCGTAAGTCAGAGCAGAGTCAGAACCAGAACCCAACTGCCCAGTCCAGAAAAGGCAGCTTAGTGTAGCCCACAGACATGAGATGTAGAGTTTACATGACCAACTTCAGAGCTAGGCAGGCCTGGGTTTAAATGTTGCTCCCCCACTTACGTGCTGTGTGAAACAGGTCATGTCACAGTGTCCTCATAAGTGATGTGGCCAGCGTCCTCATCAGTGAAATGTGTGGTGATGACATTCAGTAGTGCTCAATAAATGCCATGCCATTGCATTCTACATCTTGTCCCTCCTCTCATTCTTTCGGGCTGGGTTTTGGGAGAGCCAGCAGCACAAATACCCTAAGGGGTTCCCTGATGGGGTAAGTCTGACTGCTAGACACTCACCTCTAAACTGACATTGCCATATTACTGGTGTCTAGAGAAAATTTACAACTAAAATCCAATGGGCCTTTGAGATAATGAATCTAATCCTCCTCTTTTCCCATTTTACAGACGGGAAAAATTGAGGCCCAGAAAAAATATGAAGTCCTGCAAATGCACTCAGTGGGTGGTAAAGGGTTCAGGCAAAGTATATGGACTCTGGTCCAGATGCTTAGGTTCAAGTCCCAGCTATGCCACGGATGAGCTATGTGGTCTTGGGCATACTAGTTAACCTCTGTCCTCCAGATTCCCCATCTGTAAAATGAGATGAGATAGTACCTGCCTTATAAGATTGTTGTGAAGATCAGTGCTTGGCATGGGGCCAAGTGTTTTCTGTTCTTAATATACCTACTAAGTAAGGTTATGGGATTTAAAAAAGTTATATTAGAGAAAAATACATTCTTCCCAACTTACCATTTCATTTTGGTGAAGCTATTTTACCCCAATTCTGGGCAAAATGATAATGTTGGATTCTCTGTCTGCAGCCCACATCCCATGTCACCCTCAGTTACCAAAGATTCTTTGTGGGGCTTTAGACCGTATGCTAGGAGTGCTGGGTGCCCAGCTAGGACAAGGTAGGAACGACGAGGAGACCAGAGGAAGAAACATAGCAGCCCCCCACAGCATAGCCATGAAGCCAGGATGAGCACAGGCAGAGAACGTCTGCTCATCTCTTCATTCATTGGTTCGGGCCATTCTCATTCACATGTTCATTCTCTTGTTTCCACATGACAGGGATTCACTGAGTCCTCTCTACCAGCTAGATACATGAGGGCATAGTGTATAGGTGGACATGGAGATATGGGGATACAGATACAGATATGCTAGTCTGATGGAGGAGACCAGTGTGAACCACCTGGTGGAAGAGACTTTTCAGAGCAGAATGAAAGACAGAGCAAGGCCTGGGTGGTTGACCAGGATTTCCATGGGTGGAGAAGGGTGGGAGGACACTCCGGGTGAGGAGGAAGGTTGAGGGACACAGCACCCCTCTACCATGTTCCCCTCCTCACCATAACCCTCTGTTCCTGCAGACCAATCTCCTCTCACACAGGGTCTGACAAAGAAATCTGAGGAAAAAGAAAACTGCTGGTTCCGTGGGGCTGGCCTTTGAGACGAAGCCTCTGCCCCTCCCTGACCCCTCTCCTCACACAGGGTCTGAGGAGACCAGTCTGCAAGGGAAGAAGGTTGTGGTGAGGAGGAGAACATGTTAGAGGGGTGCTGCATCCCTCAACCTTCCTTTGGGAGGCCTTCACCCTCAGATCCCACCCCCAGGGACAGCCCTCTGTCTCAGATGAGTGGGGACAGCAGTCTGCCACTCGCACACCCTGGTGAGACTGATCCTCCTGGGACCCCCTCCCCTCCCCCTTGGAAGGAGGCAGAGGGCTGCAGGAGGGGATCCAGTGCACAGCTGTCTGGGAAAACCTTCAGGGCTGTGTCAGGAAAGAGGCCTGACCATCACCCCGGCTCCTTTGTCTATTTTCTGAGGACCTAGGAGAGCTGAGCTGTTCTCCCAGTTCCTGGCAGGGGCTGGCCTCAAGGAGGGTGCTCTTGGCTCCCACCTCCAGGCAGCAGCTGACCTTGGCGCTGACATCTGTCACTAGCTCTTGGGTCCTAAGTTCTGGACCAGACCAGACCCCAGCCTCTTCCTGGGCTGGACTCTGCCCATGGTGCGGGGGGCTTGCTAACAAGTGGCTCTGACTACATCCTTCTCTCCATTCCTCTGCCCTTTGGGGGAAAGGCCCAAACCCTTTTCCTGACATTCAAGACCCCTGCCAAGCCCTCCAGCCCTATCTGAAGTACACCAGGGCCACTCTGCCCTTGCCCCTTCCTCTTTCGTCACACATTCCCAAGACGTGGAGACTCCTACATAGCCAGTGGCAGCCAGAGAGCCAGACTCCCTCTCCAGCCTCCCCATCTCCACTGTTCCCTTCACACAAAGTGCCATCCAACTAATCTCCATTTATCAAAACCCTAAGTATCTATCTAGCTCCAGATCTCACCTTGCTTCTTCCTTTTTTTATCCCCCCAGCTGGGTGGAATCCCTTCCTCTGGGCCTCCTAACTCTGTGGGCCTCCTTTAAGTCAATGCTGAACCCAGCCTTCCCGCCCAAAGTCACAGTTCCTTGTGTCCACCTGCCCCCCACCCCCCACAACCCCTGCACTGGCCCATGGCCCCAAGATGCACTGACACTCACAGGCAGCCTCCTGTCCCTGCAGCACGCTGGTGGTCCCAAGTGTGTTGGGGCAAAGGGAAGCCAGACCTGAGGCTCCCCACTCTCCTGCCCTCAGCTAGGCTGCAGCTCATCTGACAGGGTGAGCAGCTTCCTCTGTTTCCTGGCAGGACTGTCTCTGACTAAAAGAGTCTCTGTGGGGGCCACCGGCTCCCTGCCATCCCCAACACCACGCCCAGCGCCTGGCGGAAACTGGGCTTAGAGGAGCAAGGAGGTGGAAAAAAGGCGTCCTTCCCGGAACACTCCTCTACCCCAGCAGGGGAAAGAGGGGGATGGGGCAGAGGAGGAGGGTAGGGGAGAACCAGAGGCTGTCAGCCCCATAGAACCAGCAATTTTCTTTCTGCTCAGCCGTCTCTCAGTCTTCGCAGCTGTCAAATGGGTAGGGCAGTGATTAAAGAGCTCGTGGCTCTTCCTTTAGCTATAACACTCAGAGCCACGGGGTGTCCATTCCTCCTCCCAGCCATTCACTCCCCCATCTAGCCTTCCTTCCCTCATTCAATAGCTCACTCACCAACATGGCCATCTACCCATCCCTCCGTGTGGCAATCCACTTATGTACATACTTACTCAGCCCCCTTCTCCCTCCCTCCTTCCCTCTTCTCCTTTTCTCCACACACATTTATCGAGTACCTACTATGTGTCACCAGATCCTCCTACGTTCCCCCATTTCACAGCGACTGCTTCTTCCACACAGCAGGTGCAGGGCGCATAAGGAGTGATGGACATGGGCTGTGGAGATAGATGTGATGCCCCTGAGGACCCAGTTGCCTGTGCCACATCCTCCCCATCCCCTCCTCACCACCAAACTGGCCTCAGAGCTGTTAGGAGACCAGAGCAGGAGATGTGGCTCCTCATTGTCCCGGGGAGGCCAGATCCAGAGTGGGAAGCAGCATTCCAAGAGGGCGACCTGGAGGAGGTAGGCTTTGATTCGGAGCAGCTGAGGTAGCAAGGCGGGTGGCAGGGGAGGATTGTGTGGGGAAAGAATGCTGCCCCGGGAGTTTGAGGCCCAGGTTCTTACTCCACCTTTGCCCCCAACCACTGACTAGATAAGCCCCTTCCCTTCTCTGAGCCTCCTGGGTAGAATATGGTCATACGGACCACCAGTGTGCTGGGAGGATAAAGTGCCACTCAGGGCGGCTCATCTTCTACCCTGGGAGGTGCAGAGGAGACTCTTAGAGCCTAGAGCATCAGAGCTGAAGGTGCCCTTAAAGGCACCGATCTCACCCCAAAGCCATTTTTACAGGCAAGGGAATTGAGGAACAGAGTGGGAACCCAAAGTTTGGATCACACTTAGAAAAATCAGGTTTGAACTTCTGATAAACACTTGGTCAGTTGTGCACAGATTGAGCACCTACTGCTTGCTTAGGCCTGTGCTAAGAGGTCACTTCTGCCAGCTGAGTGTGGACCTCCTGGTTGGATTTGACCTGTGCTGTGGCCCAGGAGAGCAAGGTGGCCTTCAGCTCAGCAGCAGTCCTTTGCTGGGTCCTTGGGACAACCTCCCACAGCCACTCCCAGCAGGATGGGTCACTGTCCCAGGAATGGGAACAGATCTGAGGGCTCCTGGGAGGTGTTGTCCCCAAGGCAGGGCAGGGCAGGGCTTGGGTAAGAAGCCTAAGTGGTCTCAGTCCCTGCAACCTGGATGGATGGGAAACACAAAGCTTTCCCTATCATGTCTTATCCGCCCAGACGTGCAGATCTGGAGATCCCTAATCCCACTGCTCCGCTCAGATAAGGGCACTTGGACTAACCTCAGAGGGGAAGAAAAGGCTCATGGGGTCCCACTTGACAGATGGAGAAAGAAACTAAGGCCAGCTGCCCCTTCCCCACCCTCTTCTCAGGGGTTCAAGGGCATACAAGAGGCCTGGCCTGGCACCTCAACAACCACTGAATACCCATTACCCACTGGCCTTTTAGTTCTTTGCCTTCCTAACAGAGTCTAGGTTTGAGGGCTCTCAGGACCTTGGAACTACAGCATCCTAGGGCTTGGGACTTCAAAGAATTTAAGGATGACTGAATCGGAGCCAAGGAACTGCCCTGCTCTCACTGGGCCTTAGCTTTGCCCATGGACCTGGCTAGGCCTAGAGGAGGGGACGGGGCCTGGGAGGGAGCACTCAGGTCTCAGGGGTCATGGGTGCACCTGGGAGGAAGTAACCTGTAAAGCTCATGGAGAAAGCATGTCCACTGCTGGGCACTAAAGGACCAGAGGGACCTGGACACATAACAAGGCTGAAGAGGGCATCACAGGCAGGAGGTCCACTGTGGGCAAAGGCACAGAAGTGGGGAATGAGCTTAACCTCTGTGAGAAATTAATAAATATAAAAGCCAGAGCAATGGATGAGCTCTGCAAAGAGGGGGCTTCAGATGAGAGGCCTGAGAGGGGCTGGCCCATCACGAAACCTCCAACGTGGAGCCTTCTTTTGGCAGAGATCCTCCCTCCTTGGCCTCCCAAAGTATTGGGATTACAGGCATGCACCACTATGCCCGGCCACGGCCAGTCTCTCTCCCTCTTTCTTTTCCTTCCTTCCTTCCTTCCTTCCTTCCTTCCTTCCTTCCTTCCTTCCTTCCTTCCTTCCTTCCTTCCCTCCCTCCTTCCTTCCTTCCTTCCTTCCTTCCTTCCTTTCTTTCTTTCTCTCTCTCTCTTTTTCTCTCTCTCTTTCTTTCTTCTTTCTTTTTCTTTTCTTTTCTTTTTTCTTGAGATGGAGTTTCACTCTTGTTGCCCAGGTTGGAGTACAATGGCACGATCTTGGCTCACCGCAACCTCTACCTCCCAGGTTCAAGTGATTCTCCTGCGTCAGCCTCCCAAGTAGCTGGGATGTACAGGCATGTGCTACCATACCAGGCTAATTTTGTACTTTTAGTAGAGATGGGGTTTCTCCATGTTGGTTAGGCTGGTCTTGAACTCCTGACCTCAGGTAATCCACCTGCCTCGGCCTCCCAAAGTGCTGGGATTACAGGCGTGAGCCACCGTGTCTGGCCAGTGTTGTTTCTTAAATGCCTATTCTGTGCCAGATGTTTTATCTGCAGTCCTGGGCAATTTGGTGGGGGATGGATTATTCCCTCCCCTTTACATATGAAGAAACTAAGACTCAGGAAGGGCCAGTGAGTTTTCCAAGCTATCCCAGCCAGGTGGTATTTCAGTACGTTCTTCTTGACTCTAAGGCCCCCTTCTTCATTGTTCCCCCTAAGTTGGAGCTCAGATGCTCAAACCAGGGGATTCTCAGGGGAGTTAGGTCTTCCCTGCATTGAGACCCTGTAGCCATGAGATGGCACCAGCGGACAGCCAGCCCCACTCTGTCACACAGCCAGGGAGGGGTGAGGGCAAGGCTGGTCTGCCCACAATGGGGGGCTTCCCCTCAGGGCTGGCACTGAGCAGCCTCCGGACTGGGTTTCCGGTCTCATTTCCTCTTGACCCACTCCCCAACCTTCCTTCCACTCACCCTCCCCAGATGAGCTCAAGCTCTCATTCTCAGGACCTCACCCTGGTCAGTGTGGTCACAGGAGCCACTGGGGACATGGCAGGGACAACAGGGTCAGCACCAAGCCTTATCTGTCTGAGGTAGAGGCCCTGGCCCCAGGCATCCACCACCCATCTCCACCCCAGGTACACCTTTGGCAAAACACGGTAGCCCCTCACCTCACAGCAGGGACGGCCTCTTCCAGTATCCTTTTTTCAGTTGGGATAACAACCATGGTGTCAGTTCTAGAGCAGGAGCAATTCAGTATGGACATAGGAAGAAATGACAAGGGGCCCAGCCCTTCAGGCTGCTTAGATCCTATGGTCTCAGGATAAACTTTACGTGACCCCAGAGCCTCCCCCATCCCCTGAGGCCTTCATATCTAGCAGGGATGAGGGGATCTGTTGGCCAAAGGCAGGAGCTGGAAGCCTGAGTCACTGTCTGCCAGCCAGCTGAGGCAGGAACCAGCTCAGACCAAGCTGGATGTGGAAGAGCCTTCCTAACCTTGGCCTGCCTGCCTGCTGGGAAATAAAGGCCTGGAAACCCCCTTGCTGGGCCCCTGACCAGTGAGTTAGCAGCAAGGGCACAGGATGCCAAGGGTCAAGAGTTAGCTTCCTTCCCCTAAGGAGTCAGACAGGCTGGGATTGACCACCAAATTGCTGTGTGACCTAGGGTAAGCCACCTACCCTCTCTGAGTCTGAGTAAACAGGGCTACTTATGGTGCCTACCTACCATACAGAGTCACTATACCCTCTATGCCCCAGTCATCAACCCAATCCTGACTCTGGAACTGCCTCTAGCCTGAGGCAGGGTTGCCCTGGAGCCCACCTGAGGCCAGCTTGAGGCCAGGTTCCTAATGCAAGTGCCTCCCTGGCACCCAGACGACAGAGGGCGGGAAGCATAGTCCTCTCACCTGGAGGAGTTCTGGTCCTACCTGTGGCATCTGGCTGGCTCCAGAATGACAAACCTGGCAGAAGGGAACATGGAAGGCAGGGGCTCTGATTTCTCTTCTCCTTTCCCACTTCCCCTTCTCACTTCCCGCTCAACAGGAATTAAATCTAAAACTGAAACAGCCATTTTCAGTGAAAGGAAGAGGAAGCTGCAGCTTTGGGGAATTTGGGGGTTGGGGCTGCTTCCTTTGGTTTCTCTCCAGCCTCTTCAAGCTTAGCAAAGATGGAACTTACATCTCCCAAGACCCCACTATGTATGAGGGGCCCCAGCTGCCCAAGAGTGCACCCAGAAGCCCCACCACAACCTGGACACATGTATTAATTGAGCACTGATGATGAACCAAGCATTGTGCAAAATGCTTAATGTGCCTTGTCTCATTCACTCTTCAAAACTACTGTTTCCACTTTACAAATGAGGTGACTGAGGCATCGCAAAGTTAGCAAGAGGTTCTTTCTTGGGAATGTGAATGAAGAGGGT